CTTTAATTTATCAACCGTTAGCCTTTTTTAAAAAAAAAAAAATCAGCTGATCTGTATTCCCTCCTCTTCATTCCACATAAGGGAGTTCGGCGTGGTCGAGTCGGTAAAGCTCATGGTTGCTAAACCGAAAAGTCTCGAGTTCGAACCCTCGGGCAGATGAGGCTCGTTAGCTGGGGACAGCCACTCTTCTTGGAGAGACAACTCCAAAATTAAACAACTGCTGCCTTGTAGTTTGTTCTTGGTTGGACAAAGGCTATGGAAGCAAATCCAAAAAGAAAAGCAGGCTGAAATCGGAGTCAATGGCCTCAATGGCGCATAACCAGTTGACACGTAACGCTTAATTGTGTTGGAGGCGTGGTCGAGTCGGCAAAAAGCTCATGGTTGATAAATTCGAACAAAGTCTCGAGTTCAAACCCACTGGCAGATAAATCTCGATCCCCTTCAACACTAATAATTAAGAACGAAGAAGAAGAAGAGAATTCCACATAACATACGTATATTGTAAATTAAACAGTAAAGACTGAGTGTATTAGATTTTTCTCCAAATGTTTCCGTATAACGAACAGTATCGCGTGGTCGTAGAGGGTTATAATGTAAAAAATGTACACTAGGTATCGTGCACATCTATACATATAATTCTCTTCTGGGAGACGTTAGAAAACAAGCTGCAAGCGCGCAGAGCAGTCCCCTCTTTTCCTCTCTAGGCATATCGCAACCACCCCCACACCCACATGGTCTGGTGAGCTGTTGTTCACGCTAAACGTTTACATCGTAGAGCCGGGTTTAGTGACGGCTATTAGGGGCAGATAATTTAGTTTAAAACTATTTTATACTTAGGGGAAGTAACTAAGTGGAGGCTGCTTTCACGTGGGGGGGGGGGGGTAGGGGTTGGGGAAAGGAGGGTTTTAGTGTTTTAAAGCAAATATTTTCAGTGGCAGCATTGGTACTGCCGAATTCACAAATTATGAATTACTGAAAAGTAGAAAATAAAACAACAAAATAGCGGCGTGTGATACGCCGCGTGTCGGCTCGTATTTACATAACACATAAGTGGGGAGCGCTAGGCTGCTAACCAGAAAGTCTCGAGTTCGGATCCCGGGTTAAAGTCCGTAACGCGTCTGAGTACACCTAACTCTAATGGGTACTTGATAAACGTTAGGGAAAGTAATGGCCGCTGGGCATAGTGCTTACCACACTATCCCTTCATATGCCGAGGTGAACTCTGCTTCACCTGCCACGTGAACCATAAGGTTTTAAAGGGTATTTTACTTTTACTTTAATTGGTGGTGATACGTTAATATGTAGTTGTTCTATGTTTGTTAGCCTACACAATTAAACATACAAACGATTGTTAATTTATTTGCAATAATTTAACAGAAAATATTCAGTTTAAATAAATAAATAAAAAATAAAACGTAAATTCGATGAAACTTTTTATATTTGTGTAGCTTTCAAATTGTGGTGCTCTGTAGAAGGTCTGTCACGCACTGATATAAAACACGATAAGTTATGGAGTAAAGGAAATCTCAAGGCAGGCTATTGCAAATATCCGTTCTTTTTGTTTATTTTGTCTCATTCAGGTCGATAACATGAACCAGATGTCGATAACATTAAACAGATTTGGATCACATTAAACGGATTTTGAGTTTAATGGCTTCTGACAAATCTAACACAGACAACATTTCTATTTTTTGTTGCTTAGCTTGTTTAAAAAAAAACATTAGAGACCAGTTTTAGAGACTATAACATCAAATGTTGAATCAAATTAGATTTAGGCGAATTCACATTAGGAACATTTGCGAAAATTATAAGTTTAATTAACTATATATATATATATATATATATATATATATATATATATATATATATATATATATATATATATATATATATATATATATATATATATATATCCATTCCAAACCCTGCGTTAGTCTACCAAAACTGATTTAATTCAACCACATAATTTTGTCCAGATTTGCTAGAATTACCATACCAAAGCCAGGAAATATAAGACCACCAACTTAATTCTACCATTTTGGCAGACAAAATTTATTAAATCTGGACAACCAATCACCTCGATAGACGCTGCGCGCGCACACAATTTCCTCTTCCTATATAGCCATGATTTCCTTTTGTCCAATCGAATCTCGATGTTTCCAAAAAAAAAAAAAATACAATTGTTCTCCGTCTTGATTCGGAACAAGTTTTTCTGACATATTCAATTCAGTCGTACAAAAATAAACACAGCCATCATGACAAGCTCTTATACAATTTTAAGACTGTCCAATAGAACAATTGAAACATGATTTGTGTTAAACAACCCCTGCTCCCCACCCCTCCCCACACATCTCTTGGAACAAACTTGGGTCTCTTTTACTCAGCTCTAGCTTTATATTACACATTCGCACAATATTTGTAATTGTCAAGCAATTATACTGGGGTAGGAGGGAACAAATACAACACAATTGATTAAGTTAATGAGTAATTAAATCAACATCTGTTCCTGTTATATATAACCATGTATATTTAAGTCAATGCGTTTTTTCCCAGTTTACAGCATGTTCATATACATTTGCAGGAAAGATCTAGTGTTGCATTGATTAATATAGGAGTTAGATATTTTCTTCGTTCTAAAATGTAACATGGGAGAGAAGCAAGCATCAAATTCAACATCGTAGACGAACCCCACAGTGGTCTCAAATTCAGAAAGTTCGTCCATACAGAATTATTTTTAACTTGCTCGAATGCGAAGTATGGAGGAAGTATTGTAATCGTTCAAAAAAAAATCGAAATCGAGATTTCCATCCCCCGTAGTGTTATATAAGAATATTCCAGAAAGTTTAGGGGAGATCACTCCTGATTTATTTTATCAGAGTTGGGTTTTCTAAGGCTAGAGTATAGACCGCGTCGGTTGATATGCAATTCAGTATGTGTATATACGTTTAGCGGTTACTCAGGCGCTATACTACATAGACACGTACACCTCTGTAAACTATTTTTTTTTTTAAATCTGGATAATTTTCAGATATACCATTTATTTCTGTTTCAATTTCTTTATACTTTTTGGTTGCATGGATTGTTCGCTACAATAACAGCATGGATTTTACAAAATGTTACTAAATTTTATTCTAACATTGACGTTTGCTAAACCAGATATTATTATTTGTTTGAAACTTCTATAAAGTTTATTTTTATAGCATAGATACAGAGTACATCACGAAAAAAAAAGTTAATTTGAATTTTTTTAATGTATCGTTTTATAATTCTTAATTATCTGCCATCACCATTAATCAAGCTAATATAAAAACATCATCCAAGCAACAACATGCAACATCCTAAATCAAAACTATCCATCAGTTTATCCTGTATTCGATCCATCAGTCAACTTATTCTGCATTAACATCCATCATCCACTACAATCTATCACCATATAATTTATTTCCTATTGATTTCTCCTACCAGATTCATACATTTTATTTCTCCACTCCATATTTTTTCTCTCATCAATCTACCCCCCCCCCCACCCCAACCCTTGATCCTCTCTAACCTTAAAACTCCGAGACACTCGCCATTTTATTATCACTTTACGTATGTCGCGTCAAGACCACGAGAATCCGCGAGACTCGAGAGCCGCCATCATTGAGGTGGGTGGGATGAGAAAGTCGAGAGCCATAAAACGTGAAGATTTACTGCACCGGTCCCATGTTGTGCATGAAAACTGATGCCCGTTCGTCTGGACTACCCAGACGCTGATAATGGCGTGTAATTGGATCAGTCAACACATGAAACGACGCCTGCACCCGAACATGTTCGGGTCATGGAAAATACGCGGATGTCAAAGAAGGAAGAAAACAGTAAGGCGGATGGGTGGTGGTTGTCTGGAGGAAGTTGGGAGGGTTGACACAAGAAAAGTGATATCCACATTTACCTGATGTAACAAGATGTCAAGGAGGTGAATAGTGAGAGGGAGTGGGTGGGGTTGTAAAGAGGAGGGAGGGGGTTGATACAAGGAAAATGACAACCACATTTACCTGATGTAACAAGATGTCAATGAAGGAAACAGCGTGTGGGAGTGGGTGTGGGGTTGTCTAGAGGAAGTGGGGAGGGTTGACACAAGAAAAGTGACAACCACATCTACCTGATGTAACAAGATGTAAAGGAGGGAAACAGTGAGGGGGAGTGTGCGTGGGTTGTCTAGGGGGAGTGGGGAGGGGTTTACACAAGGAAAGTGACAACCACATTAACATGACGAAACAAAGGGACATTATTCATAGGCAAGTTGTCACTTTGTTGACATTAGATCAAAATTTCATCCCGTGTAACAAAAAAATATTTAAAAAAAATAAAAAAATAAAAAATAAAAATCCATACTTTTTCTTGACACAAATGGTGTGAAGTTTTTTGTTCATCAATAGCTAATATATTCAATTAATTAAACAGTTTTTATTTTCCTCAAGTGACGTGTTTCAATTCAATTAAAACAAATACAAATTAATTAAATGTTTTGATAACGTTTTTTGGTAATATTTCTGATACGAATTTAAAAAAAAAAAGTAATTCAGGTTTATCAAAGATTTCAGAAGAAAAAAACTACAGAGTCAACCGACAATGTATACACCAGTGGCTCTTCTTGCAACACTGAACACAGAAAATTACGATAACACAAGATGACCCCCCCCCCACCATGGGGAGGAGTGGTCTAGCGGTAGATTGCTAACCCGTAAGTCTCGAGTTCGAATCTGGGTTCAAGTCAGTAGACCGTCCATGAGTCCACCCAACTCTGATGGGTACCTAACTCAAGTTAGGGAAAGTAAAGGCGGCTGGGTGTAGTGCTGACCACACTATCCCTTCATATGCCGAGGTCACAGAATCTCTACTTCACTTGCCCTATAGACCCTCAGGTTTGAAAAGGGAACTTTACTTTATTTAAAACGTGCCTCCCCCCTCCCTCCAACAGTCTGAAGGTTAACTTTATTTGACCAGTTATGGTCACTTACCTGATTAGCCTCCCCTTCATCTGCTGACGTCTGGACGTCACCTGCGTCGTTGGCCTCGTCGTCTTCATCATCATCTAGGACGTCATCGTTCATGAAACAGATCTGCATCCCGTTCGGCGCACCTTGAAGGCGAGCCTGAGAAAAGATTTGATTACGTCCAGTGTTTCTTCCAGACTTTTTTCTCCAGGGGGGGGGGGGGGGGCGGGGCGGTAGACTTTCTTTGGGGGGGGGGGGCGGACACTGTTAAAAGTATATATTTTCTATATAAATTTCATTTCGTTCGGGGGCGGGGGGGCGGCGGTAGACTTTCTTAAGGGGGGCCCTGCCGCCCCCCCCCCCTCCGAAGAGAAGCCTGGAAGAAACTCTGATTACGTCAGATAATGGTACCATTTAGACTTCCTTTTTTTTTTCTTTTTTTTTTCTTGAGCTGAGCTAAAATTGAACTTTTAAGTGAACACACTTTTTTTTTTGGTTGAACGCTAAAAGAGTTAATGTTCTGATCGTGAGTTTGAGCATTTATTATCTATTGTCTTAACTTTGAGTTCATAAAGAATATCAAGACTTTTCATAGACCTAGCACCAGACTACTAAACTATACCTGAGCATTTATTAACTAAACTCTGATCTTCTAAGCCAGGGGTCTCCAAACTACGGCCCGCATCCGGCCCGCGATGTCCTCTCATCCGGCCCGCGGAGATCTTTTTGTCCTCGGAAAAAAACGTTTGTTGGTGATGGCTGAGAAACTTTGCCCAGAAAAATCAATGACATGCATGGAAGAAACTGCCCCCAGAACTGAAATTTGATAGTTAATGCGGCCCTCGGACTGAAAAGTTTGGAGACCCTTGTTCTAAGCAATAGTTTTTGACCAACTTTTTAAGTAAACGCGACCCTCTAATGAGTTTGTAAATAATTAAAAGAAGTCTGTCTGAAAGTCTCAGATACATTGGAGTTAAGGTTCTTCTATTTCCATGGGCGTTAGAAAATATCATTGTAATTTAATGACACTGATCTTAAAGTAATGAAGAACATCGGTCAAACTTTTAAACCCACGCCATCCGTCATCTTCCAATAAAATTAAGGACGTAAATGTTGCCTTTGGACGACTGGGTACTCTGGTTATTGTTTGGTGCTAGATTCTACGCCAGTGGTAATCAGTGATCGATAAATCTAATCAATCAGCCCGTCACACAATGATCAGAAGTCTGGTCATTTGAAAGAAAAAATGATAACCTAAAATAGGTTTAGTAATATTAGTGTGACGAGTTGAGGGAATAATGCATGAGGATGCCACTGTTGGAGAAAATTAACTCAATTTTATTTTAGTTTTTAAAAGTCTTTAGCATGACATTAACTTTTTCAAACCAGGCTGGGGGGGGGGGGGGGGGGCAGTGGTTTAGGGTTCAATGCCAAGAAGAGGAAATGAAGTCACACCTCAGCCTACAACCTGCCTCAAAATTGCACTTGAATTTTTCTTAAAACATCGATATTTTTCCAAAATCTTGTCTGAACTCAGTCATCATAGTATTTTAATCAACTCCTATTACATTTTTCTACAGTTTTTCTAAAACGCGAAATAACGGCTAAAACTCGTTTTCTGACATTGCTTTTTTATAATGCAAAAGTGTGACACGTCACACCATCTGAGTCCCCTCCCCCTCATCACCGGAGTTTCTTCCAGGCATCTCTTCGGGGCCATGAAGAAAGTCTACCGCCCCCTCCCCCCGAACGAAATGGAATTCATATAGAAAATCTATACTTTTAACAGTGTCCACCCCCCCCCCCCCGCCTCCCGAAAATTTCAAGTGTCCCCCCAAAGAAAAAAGTCTAGAAGAAACACTGCTCATCACACAACGTCACAAAATTACGGACCCCCCCACTACGAGTGTGACGTCATTTATGGACGACCCCTGAACTACTGATAAGTCACCGTGACCCTAATCAGTGGGTGTGTCCGCCAGCGCCACTCACCTGCAGCCTCTGTTTCCGGGGGGACAACGTCTCCGACGCCCCCACGCTGTCGTCATCCGTCCCGAATCCAAACTCCTCATCCGCCGACATCGCCAGGCGTTTCCTGATCTCTTCTCTTTCATTCTTACAAGACTGCGAACGCCAAAGAAAGAAAAAAAAATGCATATATGAATAAACAAACGAATCAAAGAACGAGTATCGATTCTGTGGATTCGCAATGCATTCAAAATAGAAGATCAAATACGCCCGTCTTCCCTTAGCCTACCACGACAATCTGCATAAATCTATTGGGAAGGAAATGTTTTCGGATTTTCTTCTTGATTTTTTTTTTTTATTTTATTGAATTTCTACACGAGGTTCATCGTGAAGTTCTACAGATCCTCGTCTACCCACCCTGCCCTCATTTATCTCAATCCGATTCAAATTTCCCCAAGGGCTTGTTTACTTGTATATTTTCGCCCGACAAAAAAAAATTCCACCCCCCCCACCCATTCCATCCTGCCTAGATTGCAGCTTAGTGTCTGACAGACATGCACGAAAAAAAAATTCAGAGCCCACATAAAAAAAATATAAAAATCAATGCAGCAGTTGAGAATACGATGCCTGATCTAGTAGGCCCTGACCCTAGCCGTTTGATAATATTTTGTCAGGTTTGGAGATTATTTAAAAAAAAACTAATCACCCTTACAGGCTGTTTTGTAGTAATTTTTTACTCTTTTGTTATTTAAAAAAAAGAATCGCAAATGGTAGTACAGATTTCGCAATTGAAGATTCATGTATGAATCAGTAGATTGGGCAGATAAAGTGGAGTAAATGTTTCTTGACCTCGGCATATGAAGGGATAGTGTGGTCATCACTATGCCCAGCCGCGTTCGCTTTCCCTAACGTGAGTTAGGTACCCATCAGAGTTGGGTAGACTCAGGGACATTCCACTGACTTGTATAAGCCGGATCCGAACTCGTGACATTCGGGTTATCCAGTGTAGCGTTCTACCTCTAGGCCACGCTGTCCCTTATAACACACGAAGGCTGTATTGTAATATTTATTTTCTTTTTGATTTGTTATACAATATTTTTTTTGGAGTTTGATTTATTTTTTCCATTGATAATCTTTGTTAATCAAAAGATTTGATCAGCTTCTGCACGAACGCTTTTCTCCGGATACAATTCAGAATCTACGAAAATAGGTAACATAATGATATACTGTTATAGGTAACATAATGATATACTGTTATAGGTAACATAATGATATACTGTTATAGGTAACATAATGATATACTGTTATAGGTAACATAATGATATACTGTTATAGGTAACATAATGATATACTGTTATAGGTAACATAATGATATACTGTTATAGGTAACATAATGATATACTGTTATAGGTAACATAATGATATACTGTTATAGGTAACATAATGATATACTGTTATAGGTAACATAATGATATACTGTTATAGGTAACATAATGATATACTGTTATAGGTAACATAGTTACATATTGTTTCAGGTAACAGTTTCATAATGTTGTATGTATCAGTAGTATCCTGTTACAGGGAACATAGTTACGTATCGTTTTAGGTAAAATAGATATATACTGCAGAGGTATTATAGGTACATCCCGTTATAAATAAAAGAGCTACATATTGGAGCAGGTAATACAGTTACGTTATTTTATAGGTAATATTTACATACTGTTATAGGTAACATAGTTACATATTGTTTTAGGTAAATTAGATATATACTGCAGAGGTATTATGAGTACATCCTGTTAAAAATAAAATAGTTACATATTGTAGCAGGTAACTTATGCTCTTTTATAGGTAATATTTACATACTGTTATAGGTAACATAGTTATACACTGTTATATGTGACATAGTGATATACTGTTATGTGTAACAGTTACATACTGTATTGAGCGATATTTGATTGATAACAATTGTGTTTGTGGAGGTGTGTGTTTGTGGCTTGTGTAAGGTTGGGGGGGGGTGGAGTATAACAATAAGAAATATGGTCATACTAATGGAAAATGATTGTAATTGCATTCAAAACATTGACGTGTGTTTTTCCCCCCTCTTTCACGCGTGTCGTTATTTTTGCTGTTGTTGACTTGTTAATAACTTTTTGGTTGTCAACAGAAATATCCGAACCTGTATTGCTAGAGATTTGAAATGCTGGTCACATTTGACTGCGTAGTTAGTTCTCATAGCTTTAAATAAACAAAATCAGAGGCGTAGCGAGGGGGGGGGGGCGGAGGGGGCGGACCGCACCGGGTGACGCCATTTAAGGGGGGGGGGGGTGACACCAAGGCAAAAAAAAGCAAAAATATAGAGAAAAATTTGAGTGGGGTTGCAAATCGAAAGTTTGAGGGGGTGCAAATCGAAAGTTTGAGGGGGGGGGGGGGTTGCTACGCCACTGAACTAAATTAAATTACATGTAGACCTGAACGAGATGTCTCGTTACGCTAACAATGGTCAGACCAGTCAATGAATACTAGGATTTAAATAAAAGGTTCTATTTTACAAGATACAATATTTATTTATTTTAAATATTATTTCTTTATATATTTTAATTTTTTTTTCAAAAACAAGGCTAAATTTTTTTAATATGTAAGACCTATCTTTAAATGTGGACTATTTTTCAGTACATTTGAAGAAAAAGTAATCCAGCAAACATACATTAACACCTGGATATGAGCCTAAACATATTCCTCTTTAGTATTTAATTAGCTGAGCTAGACTGATGAAAGTTAGTTTGTCATTTTGTAATTTAGAACAAATATGCAGCTTTATTAAGAATGCGTTGTATTTTAGAAAAGAAGGTAGGCAAAAAAAAAAAAAACTAAGATTTTCTGTTAGTTAATTAATGGACGTCCAAAAAGTGAGATAGTGAAATGTGAGGTGTGTTGTCTGGTAGTAAAAAAGTGAGACTATAAAAAGTGAGACTATAAAAAGTGAGACTATAAAAAGTGAGACTAAAAAGCGAGACTATAAAAAGTGAGATTGTAAAAAGTGAGACGTCAAATGAGAGTAGGGGTTAAAGTTTTGTAGGGGAAAAATGTGAGACTATAAAAAGCTAAAGATAAAGTGCTGGCATGTTTTCATCTAGCAAACAATGGCGAAGTTCTGCGGCCACAACACCAAATACCGCGCAGTCTTTATGGGCAGACGTTAGTTTTAATGAAAATATTTCAGATCGATCTCAAAACATCTATTTACAAGTCTGATATAAAGGATGGGTTTTACAGCTGACTATAAAATACAAATATTCAAGACATCCCAGACAGATATCCCAAAAAAAATAAAAACTATAAAAATTAGATATCCCTGACTACATTCCTGACAATATCCCTGACAATATCCCAGAAAATATCCCAGAAAATATCCCAGACAATATACCAGACAATATCCCAGACAATATCCCCGACAATATCCCCGACAAAATTCCAGACATTATCCCAGAAAATATCCCAGACAATATCCCAAAAAATATCCCAAACAATATCCCAGAAAATATCCCAGACAATATCCCAGACAATATCCTAGGCAAATATTACAGACATCCCAGACACAAAAGAAAAGTAAAGTTCCCTTTTCGAAACTAACGGTCCTTATAGCATGTGAAGTAGAGTTCACTTGTTTCTGTGACCTCGGTATATGAAGAGATAGTGTGGTCATTACTATGTCTAGCCGCCTTTACTTACCCTAACGTGAGTTAGGCACCCAATCACAGCATGGTGACAGACAATATCCCAGACAATATCCCAGACAATATTCCATACAAATATCCCTGAAAATATCCCAGACTAATATCCAAGACAAATTTTACAGACATCTCCGACAATATTCCAGACAAATATCCCAGACTAATTTCAAGACAAATATTTCAGACCATATTCCATACAAATATCCCAGAAAATTATCCCAAATATCCCACTTAACAGGAATACACTGCTGAGACCACACGCCATGATGACGTCATACAACCACCAAAGCGCATTATTCTCTCTTTCTCTCTCACGCACAAAAAAAAAAAACAAAAAAAAAAACAAAAAAAAACGAAAGATCGATTCGCATCTAGTGCTATGTTGGTTACAGAATGCGATTACAATGGAATGCGCCATTTTGGACAGGCGCGATCACGTGACTGAACACCCTTATAATCTCGGGGAGAAAATATCAAAATCTTGTACGAGAAGCAAAATTAGAGCTGGTCGTGTGTGTCTGTGTTTCTGTGTGTGTGTGTGAGGGAGGGGGTGATATTACATAATATGAGTTTAATTTCTTATGACGTAAACCTATTTGATATCCATGTTAGTGGGGTGTGTGTGCGTGTGTGTGAGAGAGAGAGAGCGAGGTGGAGGTGGTGTGGAGGATAAGACATATTTAGAAGCTGTTAGACATAGTTAGAAAGTATTAGACCTAATAACAAAGTACTATCTATAGTTAAAAAGTACTGGTTTCTGTGTTAGAGGCACTAAACGTGTGTAAAAGTACTAGCCAATCATATCCCAATACCAGTGTGAACTAACTAAAATAGTTTTAAAACAAGGGACATCCTATTTTAGAAATCAATTCTTGATGTTCTCCTCTGAAAAATGCCATAATATTTTCCCAATTTCTGCTGCATATAAACTAATGGTTTCTAAATTAAGACACGGGGCTTTTAATTACAAATGGCAATCGGATATTTATAAACCCAGCTCTAATTAATCAGCAGACGACTGAAAGCTCACGCCTGTAAGTCCTGCCTGACATCAACCATCGATCCCACAGTACTGCCATCAAATGTCAATCGCTAAATGACACTAAATATTTACCAAAGACAGCTCAGAAAGTCAAAAACCGGAAGTACAAATATCTCCCATTACTGACGTCACACGTGTCGACGACTCGACGCTTAGATCACCGAGTGATATGTTTTCACGTCAGTAATTGGAAGAAATTGTATACGTTTTTTTTATGCTCAAATAAAAACAGTTATAAATTCTATTAAAAAGCAATACGAAACGCGATCAAATATTTCAGAATGAGATTGTAGGGAGATAACTCAATCCAGCTTTCGCAATGTAGCTGAACATTTATAAGCTTCAAAAGTAAGTACCCATTCACAACTTAATTTATAAAATAG